GGCAGTCAAATTTTATCTGGTGTGGTGTTGGTAGCAGCGAGGACAGTTAATCCATTGTTGAAGCGAGCCACACCTGATGCGAGAGGTATGCCTTCATTAAAGTATCGGGGTGACGGAGTGACCAAAATGTCACCAAAGTCGACGTTGTTGGACAAAACTGTGACTAATTGATGTTCGTGTGGTGGTAACTCGATGTCTACAGCAGCGATGAGTCGAAGTGGCCTGTAGGTCTCGTCGTTGAGCAAGTAGTCCGTGTCAGTAAGATGAACGACACGTTGTGCACAACAAATTGCCGCAGAAGCAGAGGAAAGAAATTCCCAGCCTAAAATAAGTTCGCGGGAGCATGGGAATAGCACAGCAAATTCTATATGATGAAGAATGTCCTCGATTAGCACACGGGCAGTAAAGAGAGTGGAAGGTCGAATCATTGTTCCCTGGGCTGTAACCAGTGTTGGTTCATCGTAAGGCGTCCATCATAAGGCGGGTACACAAATCAGCACAAATAATATAAAACGCAGCCCCAGTGTCCACCAAAGCATCAACGTCCACTCCCTCAACTGTGACTGAAATCATATTGTAAGGGCGCGCTGGAGGAATTGGAGTGCCTGTGTTGGAATGCAGTTTGTCCTCCAAAAACTGCATCGCTTAGTTTTCCGGACGCCGATCAGAAGCGAGGGTAGCAGGCTGAAGAGGGGAAGAAGAGCGACGGTAGGGCGAGGGTGAACGCCGTCGGGTTGATCGATGACTACTGCGCAATTCACCCGATGCTGGCGGAGATGGAGACCGATGCGGCGGTGGCGAATAACGGCGGTCCCTGGTACAAGGCTCCTGCGGTATAATTCCGTCCGCCTATGTTGTATCCTCGATGCTCGTCTTGCTGGCGCTTGCGGCAAAAGCGTGAAATGTGACCACGATAGCCGCAATAATGACACGTAGGGCGAGTCGATCCATACGGAGTGTAGTAGCTTGCGCTAACTGCACCGGGAGAGAGAGCAGTGAGAGGGACAGATGACAGGCTCAGGCGGTTGTGATGGAAAGCTCGTGGGAAAGCTTGTGGGAGTAGCGGCAGCAACCGACTCGAACGTTCGTGGCGGGGACGTCGAGCTGACGGTGCCTGGTGGCGCGGCGGTGGTGTGCGGGAACGATGGGAGAGTGCGAGCGACAGTGGGCTGCAGGTGGGCCATGTGGGTCATGGACGTGAGCTCCTCCCTGATGAAATCCCGCAATGACGTTGAAGAAGACTGAATGGGACACACTGAAGGTAGTGTGAATCCCATTGATTCTAATTCTTCGCGTATAATCACCCTTATCGTGTCTCATAGGTTTGGATCCACCGTAATACGGGCCGCGTCACTGTCCTGTTTCCAGTTGTAAGCGCATAGACTCAAGTTCTTCGAGGCGCTGACAGGTTGTCGCAACGTCAGCAACGGTAGCCGGATTATGGATTGCAAGGGCATTGAATGCGACGGGTGCGATTCCCTTAAGAAGCTGGCGCACCTTGTCTCACTCTGTCATTGGTGTGTAAACCCGGCGGCAAAGTGAAAGAACATCCTCGATTTAGGATGTATACGACTCCCTGATGTGTTGTTTCCGAATCGCGAGAGCTTTCTTTGCGAGAGTTGAACGAACAGCCGGTGTGCCAAAGACATGGCGAAGCTGATCTTTGAAGGCTGACCAGTCCGGGATGTCGATGAAGTGGTTGAGGAACCCCGTCTTCGCGACACCTTGAGGTAGAATGACACGTGAGCAAGTTTGCAGGTGTTATCTCACCGGTTAACAGCGTCGACACGTTCGAAATCGTCCAGCCATTCCTCCACATCTTCCCCGCGCATACCAGCAAAGGGATGGGGCTCACGCTGGAGGCTGTTGATGACGTGAGAAGGTGCGGCACGCAGTGGTGCAGTGCGGACGGCTGCAGCACCGACCTCATCTTGGTGCGACATATTTCCAGACACCTGGCCGAAGCGGTGACCTGAACGTAGCTCCAGGGGGCAGAGTGGTCGAGAGGATGGTGGGGGATCTAACAGCACGCTCCACCTCGTATGAAGTCTTGGTTTGGATTACCTTTATTAGGCCCGAGGAACCGGTAGCCGACAACTACGATGAATGAACCAAGACGATGATGCTACGGGACAACGATGAGGATGAATGAGCCACACATGATAATGATGATAATGTACAGGTGAAGAGGATGCGTATACTAAATGCCCACACCACTTGCTCAACGACGAAACCTACAGGCCACTTCGACTCATCGCTGCTGTAGACATCGAGTTACCACCACAATATAAACACCAATATTGAAAATAGGCATTTATAGGCAATTGTAGGAAATCAGGCACAAACGTCACAAATACCGTATTTACTCTATTCTACTGCACCCTCGATTATAACGAGCACCTATTTTTCTCGTTGGCCCGCACCGCCACACCACTTGGGAAAACGACACCTTTCGGGAGTGTCTTCCGTTTGTATATAAGGTACGGGGGAAGCTTGTGCCTATCTGACGTGCAACGGAGCATGACCATCACTCTTGTTTTACCGTGGCCCGATGTCAGCATGTGAACTTGCTTCGCCCCCTTCTTCTCGACGGTTGTGGTGCCAGGCATGTCGAATTAAAGAGGCATATGATCGGCATTCCCGATTTGCCCAAGCAGGTAGCCGTTGTTGTGCCGCAAGTTTAGGACGAACCTCTGAAAACTGTGAAGCTTTTCTTCGTACTCCTCCGGCAACTTTCGGTGTATGCCTGTTCACCTTCGGAGGGAAAAGCCTTTGCTCTTCATAAAGTTAGTTAGCTAGCACCTGCTCGCTTTAAACTGGTTCCGCATTAGCCCTTTTTCTAAGGCTAACTTCATCGCCTGCACTTGGAGCAGTTCTGTCGTCACGGGCCGCTGTGCCGCTCGCTGCTCAAGCACATACTCGGCAAGCAGCTCTTCCATTTGCAGAAACCGACCCTGCTGTGGTCCACTGAAGCTTTTGCATGAATCTTTGACAATCTTCTGCTTTTGTTTCCGCCAGTCCCATGCGCACGTTTCGGGAACTCCGAATGACCGCGATGCGGCCCGATTTCCGTCCGTTTCGGCACACGCGATGACTTTTCTTTTAAAAGCGGCATTGTGGTGCACTCTTCGAGTTTTTGGAGTCGGCCCTTCCATGCCATCGATGCTAATGCACTCTAAGATGACGAACTCCTCAGCAGACGTACGAAGTGCTGCACATGGAAAACACTTAGGCAGAAATGGCTGACGCGCCATGCCGGCGCACGTAGGGTGCGGCCATTTTGGGAATGACCGTATTCATTTTTTTTTTTTTTTACTTGATTCTATTGCGCATGCGATTCATGAACTCGCTTAACCGTAAAAAAGGTGCGCGTTAGATTCGAGTAATTACGGTACGCATTTGTAGGCACTATAACAACGCTATAAAAGCCCCTTTTAACCTCTAATTCGTATCAAAGTGATGCAATAGGAACGCAAGGAACAAAATAGGCATTTGCCTAAAATCCGGTCTCTCTAGTTATGACTATCAGTGCCGTTTACAAGGATAAAAAAGAGAAATGGACACTATGACACCTCATCCATTTCGCTAGCCATTATAAATGTGAACCATTTTAAAAACTTGGTTTTTCTTAGTCGCATGTTACACACCTGCTAGTCTGTCGGGCATCGAAGAGCGAGGTGCGATACATGACGAATGCCTTGCATTCTAGTAACTTGTTCTTATGTTTATTTTTGCACTCAGTTTTTCTTGTTTTAGAAGAATTTGCTTTCAAATAAAGGCTCTCTATTTTATATGCCACTGAAAATACCATGCTTACATTTTCCTGTAGGGCCACTTTTGTCAAGTTATGAGACAGTTTATAAATATACAGGATTACAGCTGTGTGTCTCTAGTCCTGAGTAGTGTAGTCTTTAGGATCAGGTTCACTCAATTGCACATGAAATTTTTTGAGATACTTTTCTGCCACTGAGGGCAACAGTTTATTTGCATAGCTGGCTTATTTTAGGCGTGACATCTGTTTTGTAAAGCTGTCACTAATCGAGTGACTACAAGAGTTCTTTGATGCGTTATTGAGCACATACTAGTAATTCCTCTCTTGAAATGTTTAGAGATGAAGTGGTTTGTTCAAGCAAGATGCATAACACGAGTGCAACTGGTAGTAAGAGAGGGTTAGCATGAGCTTAAGAAACCTAATATGCACATCAACTGGTGACTCTTTGACAGGACAAAGACTATCACAACAAAAATCAGTGCTCTTTTTTAAATAAGACACAGATGAGCAGTTAATAACGATGATAAAGTTGTCCACGTCCCTATAGAACAGGATGTGACGTCACAAAAGAACAAGAAGAAGGAAACAGCCAACATTTAGCTGAGGGAATTCGTAAATATTTTGAATAAATGAAGCAATATACAATTTTTTTAGACAACACGAATTTGTAATAAATATTGTATCAGAGTCACATACTTGTTGTTGTTGTTGTGCATGAACTCGTATGTTGTGACGGAAATAATTGTCTGCAGCTAAAGTGACCTTGAAGAACAATAATGAACAAAAATCATTTCTTAACTTTCTGCGTATTCGTTTGAGTGCATTTTCCGACAATTGATTTGAGTGCAGTTGTTTACATTAGACAGTTGTAGCGCATGATAATTCATGGCAAACCCTGTTTTTAAAGATCATAGAACTTGCATTTAGCTTGAGATAAATAACTCTTTCTAAAAAAAATGACATAGCCAGGGCAAGTCAATATACAATGAACTACCAAGATAACCATTTTTTGCTGCACTTTTGAGCTTGTTACAAATAGATTCGAATGTATTGCTTACACTATGATAATTAGGGGGGTTTAAATGTAACAAAAATGTCTTTTAAATCAAACTGAATAAGCAATGATTTCCATAGCACATTTGAATTTTGAGATGTTTCCACGGCACTATAGTGGTGATTCAACAACATGGTAGGCCTACGCTGTCAAACACTCTGTCAGGACACCTACCTGCCGGTAAAGCCGCTGCTTGGCAGCCTCCGATTCAGCCAGCTGAACAGCGACAGCAGAGAACTTGGCTTCCAGGCTGCTTTTCTCCTGCCGCATAGTCTCCAACTCAGTGCTGCATGAATTGGAGCCACATTTTACCAACTTACCGCAGGTAAACTTTAATACTGTAAATACTTGGTAACTCTAATGTCTTCAAACATTGGTATAGACCTAAAGTTGAGAAAGTTTCATTATGTTACTGAACCTTTTTCCTGTTGCAGTGCCAATTCTACACATACTTTCCTTGTGTAATAGACTGAGTGCAAAAAAAGACATGGCACAAAAAGAAAAGACGGGCGCTCATATAGTTGTACGTCTTCTTTTCTTTTGTCTCGCCTTTTTTTTTTGCGCTCAAATCTATTCTACAATGAACATGCCCAACAAAGCATTCTATCAAATTACATATGTTCCTCCTTACCTTCTGTGCCAAACACCAGATATCTCAACACCAAACACACCTAGACGAAATTGCCTTCCGAAAGATTTTTGTGAGTGGCTGCTATTGGAGGTTAGGAGTTACGAAGCTGCCTTCCATCGGGTATGCTTCTCATATGTCTGGCTGTCAATGAAAACCCCAAGCAAAAGCTCTTCTGCACATCTCTGTGAATGCTTCCAAAACGAAGGAAGTTCTTACAATAAAAAAAAATAATATTGGACAAAAAAAAAAAAAACAGAACCGTTTACAGGTGCTGTCTGTTTCCTGAGTATGTACAGTGAACATACAAAGTGCATGGTCGCCACAATGGGATATAACCAGACAGGCTGCATCAAAGGCAGACAACCCTTGGAGGTGGATTGTGCGAGATATACCCTGTAACATAGACTGTCTGTATAAACAAATGAGGCATACCAGAATAAATCTCCAATTAAGCAATTGCAAGGCCAAGAACACAAGCAAACATTGTTGTGTAGACATTACCAAAGCTTTTTGAAAACATTTTCTTAAAATCTTTGGGAAAACTGGCACCTACCCCGATTTGTGTGCCCTGTCATCAATATTTCTTTTTTTTTGAAATTCTTGGACATTTCATTATCATAACTACACAAGTGGCATCGGCCTTCTCCAGAAACAGCTGCTTTTTTTGGTCTATTGACATCCATTAGATTCATTCTTCTTCATCTTCTTCTTCTTATTATTTGTCTTAGCACGAAGCAGTGTTGAGGCTAAGACAAACATGAGCATATGTCATGCGGTGTCTATGTATTATTTTTTACAATTGTTCCTACCACTCACTTCCCATCCAGGAAAACTGCCAGCATCTGTAGAACCAAAATGTGCGTAAACTTAAATTTAAGAGCATGAGCTTCGTTGCTAGAAGATGTTTATGAGGCACAACATGTGGCATAGCAACTTTTGATGAACTTGTTGTTTAAACAAAAGCAGTACACAAGGACATGCATAAACTAGAAATCGCAATGAAAATGATAGCAGTTATTGCACAAAGTAGCTGAAAGAAGGTATTGAGGCCACAATATAAAGTTTTAATACACAGCTGCTTTTTCGGTAAGCTCTCCAGCAATGTTCGTGGCAAAATTGTCTTTACGTATACAGTGCAGTTCACTTGTAACGACGTGCAGCACCAAGGAAATTCCATTTTAACAAGTGATATTTGCTATAAGCAGATGGACAAAAAAAAAAGGTTAGACATGAAAACATTTTACTAGCATTGAACTAAGACAGTGCATCTAATATGTACTACAATTGAGCACATATATAAAAGCACCACTTAAAAGGACTTTCATTTGAAACGAACGATATCTGTGTGACCATGGAAATGTACATTGTTTCAGTGGCACAAAATCGCACTTACAACAAACGACTCTGAGCGTCACAGATCGATTTCAGTGAACGAATACGGCGCTCTGGCGACTTGCCGGCAAGCCACTTTTGACCACCGATAAGTTACTGACATGGTGCCCATGCATATACGTATTCTTATTTTTAAATGTCCACCCTGCCTCTGCCGCTCCCTAGTTGTCGCTCTTCCAGACCATTATTTTGTTACACAACCCCTCCGCCCTTTGTTCCCCCGCTACACTGAGCACCCTGCATCCCCAGACTAGGCCCGTGTTTTCACACTGCCCTCGATCTTTTGAAGACTGGTCGTCCAACTAGCTTTCTCTCAATTTTTGATCACTAGTTTTGTTACACTGTCGTTGGCGTTGCCGGCCTGGAGTGACCAGGCCATTCGCCAACATCGCTGACCATCAACTGTACCCAATCGTTTGCTCTCCTCTCTTTGTCACAACTACGCCAGTCTCCACTGCTCCGTTCAGCTATGCCACCCATGCTGGCTCGAATTCAGAAGTTTATTTTTCTGACTAGAAAAGGGCCCACAGTAGCTCTACGTGTACTGGCTTTTAGATCATGCGTGCATGTCTTGCTCATTGTTGGCATTCGCATGTGGTCAGGACGGCAAGTGGGCAGCCTTCCGAGCCTTTTTCTGCTGCTCAACAAAGTGTTGACCGCGTGACTTGGGCATATTGCACACGTTTAAGGCTTATTATGGGTGCCGCGTTGTGAAGTGCTTGCTCATATCTGTTGACCGGCCGGCAGCTAACTTGCCGCTTAGGGTGTATTCATCTGTACAGATGATGAAGGCTTCGTGGGCAGCGGTGGCGACTACATGTGTGTAAAACTTTTCGCGAGGCTGAGTTTGCCGACGATGGAACCAATGCTAAGCCTGAAGCTTCGAAACAGGACCATTTTGGCAGCGATTTGTGGCAGCACGTCATCAACTCCGACATGGGAGTGCATGTGGGACATCTGTTGCGATGTTTTCATAATGGCCGATAATGATGTTGACACTGCGGAAACATGCACGAATGAGGGCATTGTGAAAAATGCACGACAAGAGTGGTTAGGAGAAATCTGATGGTGAGGACAACGAAACTTTGGAGCTAGTGCACAGAAGCATGCTTGAAGCAATTAGCTACATTATTAGCCTCAAGCAGCTTGTAGATGTCACGGGCCTCAGCGAAGAGCACGTGGCCTCTTTACATAAACTTGAGGCCGTCCTTATCTCTTCTGCTATTGAAAGCACATGCACCACAGACTTATTGAAAAAAAAAATTGTGCTTTCACTCGCAACTTTTTAAAACCTGTGTTCCATTTACTGCGAACTTCGGGAAACAGTGAATGGATGCCGCATCCCACTCAGGTTCGTTATAAGAAAGCTCGACTGTACTTGTTTGATGAAAGGGCGTATCCTGCCCTTTCATCAAACTTCGTGGAAAGCTGATGCACACCTTTCTCGAGAGCATCTAGGTGCCCTATGTAAGAGAGTGGGACGTCCTTCGCTAAAACAAGGTTCCACATGGATCATCCTTTGGACCTCCTGCAATGACAGTACCTGGTAAGGCAGCTAAACCGTGTCGTCACTCTCACTACTAGCTGCAGCACTGCATGGTCGGTGTGAAGACCCATTTGCAGCATTCACTGTAGCTGCATTCAATAGCTGTCATTTATATTTCATAGCTGGAGCAATGTAATAAGCGCTTTATTTTGCCATAGCAAGCTTGTACACAAAAGTGGATAGTGCCATTACTGTTCATCACTTTATCCGATTTATTGTAATAAATGGTATTGTTATAACTGAATGGACTGTATAACACAAAAGGCGCAGGCACCTTTTCAAGAGGAATACATATGAACCCATAGAACACAAAAAAATTGGGATATGCCAACTTGAATTTAGGAATAAATCTAATTTTGGGGTCAATATGGAGGTGGGCTAGCTTGCAGAAAAAAGCATCGTTGGCAGGCCACTGCAGACGTGCAAGCATCAAATTTTGTGCTTTCAGCTGCTAACCTAACAACACCTGCAGCCTCACAATTAGCAGAGCCAGGATAGTAGTGGCCAGTTGGTCTTACATAGGGTGAAAATTTTAGTGCACTTACAGGAAAACGACAAGTTTACATCATACCCTCATGCTGAAACATAAATCTTCCTGGCTGGTTGCACGCACAGGTTGTAGCCAACAGCTTTTTACCATTTCTCAGTTTCACAATCCAAGCATCAAGCAGCATTTTATGTTGTGGACATGCATGAAAGCTGAAATTGGAATCTATTGTGCACATCCAGCACTTTGGCATTGAGCAATGGCTTACCATAAAGCCTTCAAAGACTGTGACTGTACATTACAATGCTATCATAAGTGAATGCTTTCATAAGTGAAGTGCACAGTTAAAGCAGGAAGACCACCCCTTAAGCAGAAATACAATGCAGGAGGCATTCGTTTTGAACATGCGTTGGTGCTCACAAAGGAGACAGTGTGGCTGCTCGTCCTGCCTAACATGTCACGACCATGGTGGCACCAGCTTTTCCAGCAGCGGGCCTCATGCCGAATACTATCAAGCAGGTAAACACAGAATAGGGGATATTCATAATGCTTGGTGCTCAGGCAACATCCCAAGTAACCAGGAATATTCGCTGGCTGTCCATTCTGAAAACAATTGTCCAGTCATATCGATATCCAACACCGATATCCTGTGGACGTACTGTGAAAATCCATGTTTAGCGTGGCTATTTTCTGAACGTCCAAACTGGATGGCCGAGCGGACATTAAGTTTTGAACATTGACCGGCTGTCCGTATAAGGATATGCCAAAAATATGTGCATTTGCTCATCAATTATTGTAAAACTAGAATGTAGTCAAAATATGTATAGAATTCCAGAATTCCAGGTTACAATCTCGTAAAATTTCATTAAAAATGCTACTATAACATTCGTTCGAATTTCGAAACACGCATTTGATCCCAGGATGCCAAATGGTTTTGCTTTCTGAGGCAGCACAATCTGGTTGATTCAATAAGTGTATTGTATGCAATACGAAAGAATGTATACTATATGGCATGTTTTCAGCTCTTCATTTGCTCTTCATTTCGTATGTCATATGAAAATATGTATTTGTGGCATGTTTCCAGCTCTTCATTCGCTCCCATATTCCTTGCTATTAACCGTTTAGGACGAGCACGTGGTCAGTGCATTGTGCACCTTCTTCAGAAGCATGTGCAACAACCAATAGTTTTTCTCTTGTGCTTGTCTGTATGTACGCATTGTGGTTACTAGA